TCAAATTGCTAAGTTGCAAGATACCATCTTTTTGTCTTTCTGAATATACCAGTTGATCAAAGTTTTAGGTTCGGTCTCAGCTGGTTTTTTGCTAGCAACAATGTCCAGAAATTTTTAAGAGGAAAATCAAAGAAAGCGATAATATCCTGTCTTTGAAGTTAACTGGAAGCTGCTAATAATATAATTGAGACCTTCCCCACACACACACAGCAGCAGACAGCTATTTTATGGGCAAGAGCTGACCAAAAATGTCCTGTAGAGATCTTATGGAAACAGTGCACTAAATCTATTCAGCAGCTGTGTCTTGAAGGAGGAAAAAAAAAAACAACAAAACAGTAAAAGCTCATAAATGTTCCTTTCCAGAGAAAACTTTAGTAAAAGACAGAGTATTAATAGGACCTGAAAACAAACAACTGTATTACCTCAAACCATACCTGACTTTTGTTATCTACCTACCTGGTTAAATCAGGCTTTTGAAGACTTGCTTGCTCATCCTCTGCAGCTGTTAGTGTCACATAGCCCAGTTCAGACAGGGCTTCCACTGCTCACAATCACTGGTCAGGAGAACACGACAAGTAACTTTTTTCACTGCTGAGATTTTTTTACTTCTTTTTATTTTAGCTATTACTGGTAAAATGGCTGCTAATGAGGATTACAGTCCAGCACAGCTATCAGCCCAGTTACTATATTTGAAATTTTTGACTGCCCATTGGTATACAGACATTTTTAGTAGCTTGGATTTGGCCTAAATCATAACTAATTTTGAGAAACTGATGCAATGTAAAACTGTTTTCTTATTTTATAGAATGAAATAACAAAAAAGGGGGGCAGGGGGTGGCAGGGGGAGTCTGTTGGATAAGCAAGTCCCAACATTCAGGTGTGCTTTATTCCCCGTCTTTCACCAGTTATCGTAATATTTTCCTTTGCAGTTGTTTGTGTATTCAAACTATTGGGGATATCAGTCCCACCCTATCAGCAACCTGGCTCTGCTGGAAGATCTACCTAGCCACTTGACCAGTGGAGCAGGTGAACTTTCTGAACATCTTATTGTAAATACATAAGTTTTCTTTTTTTATTGTCGGATTAATTAAATCACTGCAAGAAGTCAAAGGTACTGTTTAGTAGTTTAAGGTCTGTCCTCACATCACACACCCAATTTCTTTTGTCTGCTGCTCACGCGACTGTAGGTATACATATATACCTACCTGGTCCTGGCCAGTATCTGAATGCTTTGCTCTGAATTGATCTGACTTCTTTTGGGATAGAATTCAAGATCTTCCTGTTACTCCAGAGAGGAACATTTTTTTTTTCAGCAGCAGCTGAGTAAATGGGACATAACTTCATTCATGCCGATGTTTGTATCATTACAGGCAACATTAGATCTTTCTCAGTTTCTGAAAGAGACTATGTATCTTAAAATTAGGTAGGAATTGTTCTCCCGGTTCTTCAATGCTCTTCAAGACTCTCACCCCTCTTGTGGCTGTGTTCATACACTTGTATCCCCCTCAGAGTATTAATGGACAGTAGCACAAGAGCAAATGGATATAAATTGGCATTTCTCTTAACAAGCTCTTCTCTCTTTCATTTGGAGCTGCCTGACGTGTAGTGAGAAGCAATCGGATCCCCTCTCGGCTTTTGGTTTGTTCAGCTGAAGCCAAGTTCTTCTCATCCTCTCTAAAACAGGTTTTTCATTATTCATAGATTTTATCGTCATATATACCATATATAATTCATATTTCTTCAACGTAGATGTTAAGAACTCTGCACAATACAACCTAATATGGCAGCAGTAAAACTTTCCTGGAATTTTGACTGAAACACCTGAGGGTCCCACCTATTTTATAATGGTGCTAGTGGCTCACAGTGATCTCGTGATAGCAAATGTGGCCAGCTCTTTCTTTCTGTCACCTCAACTAAGGAGGCCCTGGCTTATTGTAGAAGTTCTCGTTATTCATCTTCAATGTTCTTTGCTAAATGCCATCCTACTGGTATCAGCAATGTCACAGCCACAAAATTGGTTACTTCTCTGCTGCCTGGGCACCCTGGATGGCTCAATCTGCCACTTGTTACCTTTAGTACTAGTGCTGTAAGCTGCTTACTCTCGGAGGACAGAGTTCTTCACTAGAAATGCAGAGACGACTCTTGCCACTGACCTGCGCAGTGATTCGACCTGCACAGTCTACCTTCTCTTGCCTTTCTTCTTCAGTCACGTATTTAGGCTCTTCAGGTTCTTCAAGGCCAGGCATTTTTTGCACACTGAGCAGACAGTGACAAGCACAGCGATCTCACTCAGGCCTCTAGGTACTCTCTGTGAAATCCTATAAGAATATCATATAGGGGGAGGGGTCAGCAGCGTCCTGTGCCTCCAGTCTGCATTACTTCTCCCTCAACGTCCAGGAGGGTCCATGTGACATTCTCCCGGCAAGGATCTGCCTGCCTGAAAGGATCTCCTCTTTCTAAATTTCTTTCTTTTGCACAAAATGCTGAACTCCTGACAGCAATAGCTGAGCTGATGCCTGGTGGTTCTTCATGGGTCAGAGGGACTAACCTGGCAAAACTGGTTTTCCTCCCAGATTTTGGGATCCAGGTGGGCTCTCAATGATCTAGTTGACCTTTCCCACTGCTGAAAGTAGGCTTTAACTTGGTGCTTGTTGTGGAAGTCAGAACAAGTGAAAGACCTTGTCCAGGGCAGTATCTGTAAAGTTCAGCTATGTTCATTTTATTTGCAGTTTTATGGAACATTTACCAGTTTTAAGACAAGTTTGTACTGAAATCTTGTGAGATATCATATACTTTGTAAAAAGCACTTCCATTATTTGATTTTGAAGTGAATTATTAAATAAAATGTTACTGAATGAGTTTGTCTTCCTGTGAAAATGAGCACCTTTTGGAAAGTAACAAGATCCTGCTTCCTCCAAGCTTTAGGCATTTTAACCTTCCAGGGGAGTCATAGCACTATCCAGCTGCATTCAAGGGGATTTTCTGGGTTGTAAGCAGAATATACATTTACTATGCAGGTGAATTCAAGGGCACGTTCTAGCATGCAAGCAGAACATATGTTCTTTAACTTGTATACTTGCAAGTGATGTAAGCCAGCAGCCTTTGGATGAACAAAATGGAAAAAGGTTATTTTATTGTCTATAAATCCAGAGGCAGGGCGCTGATTTCTAATAGACACACATACAGGAGTCGTAGCTGTTCAATGCGCTTTTTCTCCTGTCTGAAGATGGGGTATATGTACTCCTGTAAACTGCATCACTGGGTTGATGGCAAAGGCTGGGTGACTTCAAAATAATTTATTCCAACACTGAAGTCTTTTTACTTGCCAGGTGACATGAGAACCATCTCTTCATTCAGGGTATCTCAGATACATGAGCTTATGCATTTCCTCTGAACTCCCTTCTCCTTCCAATGGTTCTACTAAAGAAAACTCTGAAGTAACATCTTGTATTTTTGAAGTGTATGCATATATTTTACTAGTTTGCCTTAGTGATGTTTGCAGTAACTGTTCTAATACGAGTGCAACCCTTACAGGTAAGCACAGGAGGATATGTGCAAAGCACTGCTGTAAGGTGATAAACCAATGCCTTTATTGTGCATCAGACTAAAGAATGCAATGGTTCCTGGCCTGCTGGCCTTTTTTCCTCCCC